TAGCTGCTAATTATATTAAGGTAGTCTTGAATTTTTTAATTAGGTATAAAAATATGAAAAAATACTGCTTATAGCTATATTAAAATTGTGAGAATCGGTAAAATATCGGCAAAATATCGGGTTAATATGGCCTCAAGTTAGACTCGTAGATTATTGAAATGAAAACAAACTGGATGGTAAAATCATAGTGGACAAGCTGTAGCAGGCGATGGGTCATAATACATGTACTGCTTTGTTTTTGTCTGGTGACGTCATATTTGTCGTACCTCAAATTTATCATTACATTCCATTTACCTGTCAGTTACGCTTCGGTTCATACACACTTTACAACACTGTTACCTGTATCGTTATATTTTGCATTTGCTTAAGTACCATCCGACGTGTTGACATAGCTATCTGTGTTTTATCTGTATTTCCAAACAACATCCGTACGTTTCTACGTGGACTCGTTACTACTGATGTTTCTTCTACATCTTTAATACAAGTAAGTACACTAATACCTGACTTATTTTTAGACATATTTATGTCATACAAATACGACACATGAAGTATATTTTCGTTTCTGCTATCACAAGATTTGTGTCCCAATACTGACAGTTTTGAACGGTTCTTATTTAGCTGCATAAAGACACAAGTACATTAACAATTTCTGTCGGGATTTGTAATGTTGATAAGGTAATATATACATGGGCAGACGTTACTTAGATGTACCTGTAATAATACATTTATGGACGGCCACAGTGATTTCTACATAGATAAAAATGACTTGGGGGCATATTGTATATAGGAGCTTTATTCATGTTATGTACAACAAAGTATTATGCTACGGGATATATAACACGTGTTTGATGGAGATATATGTTTATATGGCGTTGTCAATCTATGTGACCTACGTAATAAACACAGATAAACAAAATGAGTAGACGTTAAACCTATTATAACTGTCAACACAACTCAGGTTTTTCCTGTTATAATTTTTACCTGAATGTGTTTAAAGATTACTTACATAACTGTGTCTATACGGTAAACGTACTGTCGGCTCGACGTAATATATGTCACTATTTAGGTGTTGCATTATATGTAATGCTATAACAGACCACATGCTAGTTTTTGAAGCAGCCGTTTTAGGTAAGGTTTGACGCATTTGTATCTCTTCCTTTTATGGGTTACATATTGGTGCTATTATGTCCGTGGATGCATATGTTTAACATACATTGTCATTCGATAAAATGTTAATTCTAATAAATAATCAAAACACAAATACATGTACATATTTTGTGATACAATACAGATTTTAATATACAATTTCATATAGTCCGTGCCATATTAATCTGATTGAAGGCACGTGGTCAAATGAACTCGGCTGTTAATAAAATGCTATACCCTATAAACCTAACCATCTACTTTTCATTTAACTGCATTTATGATTAATTAAGATTTATTTAACGTTTCCTGATAAACCAGTGAGGAAAAACTTTTATGATTCAAATTATGCTTGAAAAAAAAATGAAGAAAGGTTTAGGTATTTTTTCTACTTCGATTAATAGATGTTTTAACAAATTGTTAGGGGGCACTTTCACTTTTACGTAGGAATCCGATAAACTCAACATGCCATTATTGTTCAAATCTTTTTATATAACGTAACGGCCAAGTGAAACGTAAGGCGTTAAATTCAAAATCGAGATAATTAGAATGACGTAGAGTACACAATCCCTTAGTTCGTCTGTGTTTACCTTACAATGAAGCAGCGGATAAGCTTGAATAAGGTATAATTATCTAAGTTCAGGTAAGTACATTGGTGATAACATTTTATCTAAATATTTACATAACCCGAGATAGTTTTGCCAAAGTATTAATTTATAGTAAACGTTGACATGATAAGATGGTAAATCCCTTTGGTATATAGGGTAACATAGCTATGGTCATCTTTGTTTATGTCTGACCAGTGGTCTTGCTGCTTCCCGGTTCAATTGAAGGTGATCTCACTACCGACATCTCTCTTTGAACAAATATCGACAACTTGGTTAAGCAATAATGTATAATAATTCTTTCGTTTGCCTTTTCTAAATATCTGAGCTAGTGTTTGTTGCCGATTTAGTGTAACTTGTTATGCAGAGTTTGTTTTTGTTTCGATGTGTGTGTATATAACGTGTTTTGTTTTTGTATCGTGTTAGGCCAATCGGCAATTTTAGTCGTTGACGGTCAAACAACACTACTAAATAGAAGTTCACAAAAAGGAATTCATCAAACTTTACTAAAAGGTTGAAATGTTTAAACGATCATAAAGTGTTTAAATAAAAATAGTTATGGCTGGTCACCAGCATGACAATAATGCCGATTTTAATTTCGTAAAATGTCAGCATATGACTTGACGTGTCAAGCGAAAGCACAGTAGTTTTAACAGCCAATATATTTAGTTTTAACAGCCAATACAAATATATAAGTTGAGGTGTTTTTTTCTTGCGATCCGCTGTTCATGAATCCATGTATATTTCCAACGTGTGAAACCTGTCCGTGTTTTGAATACACTTAAACATGACTCTACTGTTGGTTGAAAAGTCGATTGATCTTGTAGTGTTTCCTTCTGTCAAATTTTTTGAAATATTAATGTATTCATGTTCATAGCTCAAGATAACGAGTTTTCTTTTACAAAGAAACGTTTCATAAATTCCTTTTTATAAATGCACAAGAGTAATGCTTCACTCTCTTTTTTAAAACGTACAACTGAAAATATCCTATTGCTTGAATGTACATTTAAAATAATTAACTGATCTTTTTAAATAATGCCATACTTAATTAAGAAAACTTCACTGACTTTTTTAAATTTCAAACGATCCGTTACACCTGAAGTATTTAAGTAACAAATAAGAGAGAAAGGAAAATATTTAAATCTAAAGTGTTGCAATGAGCATGGCAGATACTTTTTGCTTTCTGTAATATCCCCTAAATAGAAGGTTTAGGGTAAAAATCACATTAGTCGGCTCTTACGACATTCAGTGACATACAGCAGGCATAACTTTCCCCGAATCTACAGATGTTGCTCTGCGAAAAGGGGTAACTAGAGAGAATTTTATTATTAAATGCGCTGATTTCAAACGAAAACGTGACAGATTCTATATTGTATCGTGTATAAAAAGTTATTTTATACAGTTTCTGTTCAATCAATATGTGATTATAAGATATATGATTAACAACTAATTCGTTCCTTGTTTTTATTTTTTACACCTTTTAAACGTTTTTATTTTTAGTTTGATGTATTCATTGTTGTGGTTGCCTATTTGAACGTGTTGTTTGGCCTAAACGACTGGCATTGACGATGGGCCGTGAAACAATATAAAAACAAAACAACAAACAAAACAAGGGAACTGTAGAGATGGCGGGGACACGATGTAACACACCTTACATATCTACAGTGTCTCGATTATACCATAACCCTTCACATAAACGTCCATTCAAACGAGGGCATTCGTCAATAGGAACCTCCAAAAACCACTCTATCTACGTAGAACACATACATGTATCCTACTAAATACAACATTCACGGGTAGTTATATACACTGATATTTACACATCCTGACTGAAAACATGAAACACCCTTTAAAGCGATAGTGATGTACGCTAAACATGTCAAAATAGGATCGGTTGTGATTTGTAATCAAACATCCTCATTCCATTGTCGCCGGTAAGTTTGATAAGATAAGAAAATATGTCACGTCGGATCAGTATATACGTACGACGTTTGGTTATAATAAAAACAATCGGGATGAGTTCCAGGAACATGAATTGAAACAAACGGTTCACTGAGGCTGTTTGCTTAATTTTTATATTGCTTTAAAAAGTGTCTCATGTAAATGTTTTTTCATTCTTCCGATCTGTATCAAATATCTAAGCAAACCCTCTAAATGTTATAATTTTTCCATTTTGACAGTTCGTTAACATGTACTTATAGATAGTGTGATATCGATTTTAAAGCGCTATTTGTTGACATACATAATCAATATTATACTGCCATAGGTGGATTTATAGATCCCGTCGCAGGTTCGAAAAAGGAATAAGCCTGCTGTTTTCCACTACATGTTATCGTAAGCGACGCATGTGGGGCCCCTGTACAATCTGGGTTTTTTGTGTATGCCTTCTTTGGAAACATTGAAGAAATTAATACTAATATGCTGCTCCATTGTACCATATATAATATATAGAGGTTCCCCAACGAGCGATGGTTGGTTATCATGTTTATCTTACTCGTGTTAGCTAATTTTCAAATTGTTACCGAGTGTCTTATACGATTTGAAAATTAGCTAACGGGAGTTAGATAAACACAATAACCTACCTTACCATCATAACGTTCCGATAGGGGAAAATTGCCGTTAATCATGACGTCACAATGAAAGATGACGTCTCAAAGCATTGTTACGTGACGTCATAAGAAAAACAAATGACCAATGAAATAACGTCTACGGTGTTGCCCACTAGTCAGTTACCAAAATGTTTACCAACTCCTTATTCCGTCTTTTCGTATCGTAGAGTTATCTGCTCCTGTGAGCAGGTATTGATTGTTACGTCACAAATTTGTGAGAGTAACGTCATCAATTTTTGAGAAAACGACGTAATTTTCTCACACAAACCAATGACGTAGCAGTAATTACCTGCTCACAAGAAAAGAAAACTCTGCAATTCGCAAAGACGGAATAGGTTAGTTAATCCAATGAAATGGGAGTGAGGAAACCTATATGGGTTGTGGGAGTAATAAGTTTTCTAAACTTGCTTACCTATTCTTCTCTTCGCTGGTTTCTCCCTAGGCACCCTGTTGTGAGAACGTTCAACCCCAACAAAGTTTTTCAATGGAATTGTTGTGTTTCTATGTGCATCGCTATCTGTGGCATTTTTTATAATCCTAACCTATATTTTGCTGTCAAATGCGTCTTCAATGAAAAAAAAAAGACACAAATCTGGCCACCCGTTTAAACATGTACCGACAGTATGCGTAAACATGTGTTCACAAACACTTCGTTGTTGGTATAGATATATGACCTTTTCAATCTTGATGCTTACTTAAGTACAACTTTCCTCAATTTTCTTATATACGTTCACGTTTTACTCTCTTGGAAATGGACGCTTTGTGTGTATAAAAGTAATTTCTCATAAAAATGGACTATGTAAGAAAGTGAAATCAAGACTAAGGCTTACAAGTGTTGCGAAGGAAACATTGACTCGATTGTAGTTTCTCTATTGGACCATTAGCGGAAGGCGTGAAGCAAATTAGTGATTCCGCTGGGTACCAGGCTAGGTAACAATATATCTGTTCTGGTCTTCTCGAATCTACAGGAAGGTCCCACTTAGGTTGTTTTCATTTACGATTTGAATACATGTATCTATTTTATTACATTCATTTGATTTACCTGCTAAATCATTCTCGTTCCTTGGTTATGTTAAACATATATTTTGTTACAAATATTGCTTTATTCGAATTTTTTTGTAATAAGTTATATAATAAATACGTTATTATTGATTAATGTTTCATAACCGACTTTCAAAAACACAGATTGCTTATGGCTGACCATGTTTCATAAATGCTGACATGTTAATCTTAATCGAATGTTTGTTTTGACGGAGAACTCAAGTACATATTGCTGGTCGTTATCAGTCAAGAACGGGAATAGAGCGATACGATATTTTATACAGAGTTATATTTGGTGTATTAGGGACTTGGATAGTGCTTCTAAAAGGGAATATATATTAAATGTTTCATCCGGCGTTCTTGCGTTCACGCACCTATACGATAGTCGTTAGGCTCCCAGACAGAAATAGTGTTAAGGCCCTTGGCCATACAAAACTCCTTGTAAGCTTGTTTGTCTCCTAACTGGGTTAACCGTCCTCCCAACAGCCCGGATTGCATGAAAATTGATAACTTGGGATACCGCAAACAGAGAAGTGTGTGGAAGTGAGAGGAGTAAATATGTACATTCAAAATGCAATCGGAGATGCAGATTGTTTTCAACGCTTCCTTCTGCAGGGAGCGGCTCCTAATTTTCCTCTTTTGATAACATGTGACTGCAGTTTCGAGGATAGCCGTATCGCTACCTGGCAGACAAAGGTCTAGTGCAGGGAATAATCCATCTCGTGAACAATTTGGAGCAACGAAATGTTCCGCAAGTCATTTTGTTTTGTATTGCGTTATGGCCCTTCCACAATGCACGTTTGGTTTTTTTTGGGTTTTTTAACGTCCTTTCAACAAATAAGGTATTTTAAGGACGTGCCTCCATGTGTGTTGTATATGAGTTCATGCGTGTATGTGTGCCGAATACGGGCTTATATTGGTGTATTTGCCTCCTTGTGATAGCACGGATCTGATGTCAACTGTATAGTGCTACCTCATTGAAATACCATGCCGAAGGCACCCAGCACAGCATGCCGACCAGTCACATTATACTGACAAATCATTTAGAGCCACACAACACCGAACAAATAAATACTAAACAAACAAGGACCGTATTTGTATGTCAAATATATCGTCTAATAATAAAGATCAACTGAGCGTAAATAACCATATATTGATTGTACAAAAACTGTACGAATGAAACTTTTCATAGGCGGTACATATTAGCCGCTGTCATTTATTTGTTTGAAATCAGCGCATTCAATCATAAAATGTTGGTCTGTAAACGGCTGACCACATGCAGGACACTCAGATTTGTCTTCCCAACGTAAAATGTCACTATGTGTGATGTAGGTAGGGCAGTCTCGAGAGGACAACCTCTATGCGGTCTGCTCTAATTGTTGTAGGGTTAAACAAAATTAAACCAAACCAAACTACTTGTTGCACAAGAACAAGTAAAAAAGCCGTCTCAGAAAAGTGCAGGAGCGTCACAAGACTATCATGTGATAAAAGTCTTCTGATATGGTTAACTTACTGAAAACAAATGAACTAAAAGAATTTTAACAGGAGCGCAAATTGTTTTTTTGAAAATGTATTCACAATTTAAAGTGGTTGATATGTAAGTTTCATTTCATTACCGAACAAACACGAGGTTAATACATATTTAGGTTAAGGTTTCATTGCAATTAATATCATACTTTGATATTTAGCAAATGACGTCAAAACCTGAGCTGAAGACGTTTCACAGCGTTAGATCTGAGCAAACGCTTGTCTCACATTGCTATCATTGAATTGCGAAATACGTTTTAAAATAAACTGTCGAGCACGAAAGTAAGTTTGAAAATCATAAATGGTTGGCGTAAGGATGTACATACCACCGCCTATAGGTATTCTATAGTATTAATCACATATCTTCCAGGGACCTTTGTTCAGTTTCCAATGTTATCATATGAACATCGCGGCACGCCCTCCCTAGGATTACTGATGTCGTCAGTGCAATTCAATTGCCCATCTCAACAAGATAATCAAATACTTTTAGCATAGAGGATACACTTAATTTATTGACGAATTAAAATATGTGTAATCACAACAACTGGTTATCCGGTTGTCAGTATAATGTGACTGATTTGAATACTGTGCTGAGTGTCTTCGGCATGTTACTTCACTGAAGCACCACATCAAAATGTGCATCCGACCCACGCTATGGCAAGGAGGTCACTTAGATTCCGTCTCCAACACAAGCATGCATTATACACATGCAGACACGTTAGAAAATTACATTAATTCTCAAATGAATTCTTAATACAGTAAACTAAACCAGCTGGTACGCTTACTCGAAATTTGAGAAAATCCAATGTCAGGTTTAAGGGGCAAAATAACTGCAAAAAATATCTAGTAATCGGCGTTAGTGTTTTTTATATTTTAAGTAAGGTTGAAAGCGACTCATTTTGCAATGAGCACTTCATATTGTCGAATATATATTATTTTACGCTGCCAGGTTAAATGTTTTGCTATTGATATATAGCACACATACGGAGGTTTTAATGTTGTGTCTGGAGCCAGGTCTTATTTTGTCTATTTGCCAATATATCGAGGTACCTACATTTTATTTATTTACAATTTGATAACAACTTTTCTGTACAACTCGTATACCATACGACCCCTTTGACACAGGAGTCTACGTTTCATACATGGATTTACGACTTCCTTCTTACGCAAAAATAATTTGATATCTGCTGATCTTTACACAACTCAATATCTACATTAGCATTTTGTATGCATATTTGTATTTATTTTTGAACAAGTATTACCATACAAAGTGTGTATCATATAAGCTATTTCATTTTCACACTCACACTTGTCATTTACCTCACGTATCTCAAGTTTCTGTGCTATTGATAAATGATTATTTGCACTCATGAGAAGGTAGATAAAGCTGCTAAAGCAGCCTTTACCTACAACCAAAAGATATTTAACTCCGTTTTTCTGATTTTAAACCTCCAATAACAAGTTTTATCAAAAAGAATTGGCAAAAATGGTATGAAGAATTAAACAGCAAGTTATTTGCAATTCAACTTGATGTGGGTTCATGTGCAGCAAGTAGAGCAGACCGCAGAGAGGAAATTGTCATCTCGCGGATGTGCATAGACCATACATACATCACACACAAATAAATACAGAGTTTACGATGTACCGTCTATGAAAAGATCAGTTTCTGTGCAATTAGTATATGACTATTTACATTATTTTGTTCGATAATGATGTTTTTCTTTAAACATTTACACTTTTTAAGGTATTACGTTTTAGTTTGATGTGTTTATTTTCGTGAATGTTTCTTTTTACAGTAATGTTGGCCCTAAATGACTCGCAGTGTCGATGGGCCGTTAAATGATACAAAAACAATCAATCGATCTTTACAATAAGATTTAATATATTTTAAAATCCCCTGCAGGTAGGGTTTAAGAATTTTACCTGCTGCCCCCAATTGCATGATCGTAAGAGGCGACTAAATTTGGGACCTTATCTCTTCTCTCCGTTCTAAATAACTTTCTTCTTCCTAATGTCTCCATTGACAATGCCTCACGTATGGCCATTTGTTGAGCAGTCGCCCCTGTGAGGAAGACTTTGGGTTCTGTCCCCTGGCCGAGACATACAAAAGTCTTTAACAATGGTAGTTTCTACTCCTGCTTAACGCTCAGCAAATTAGGAGTGGGACGACTGGTTCGCCCGTTGTCAGTATAATGTGACCGGGTGGGGCGTCCTGCTGGGTGTCTTCGGCAGTATGTTTCAGTGAGGTAGCACTATAAAGTCGGCATCAGTTTCGCGCTATCACAAGGAGACAAACACGAACAAATCGCAGCCTCCCAAAATACACACACATACACTACACGCATGCATCTTGCACACAGGGGAGGCCGTCCTTAAATGACTTTGGCTGTTAATAGGACGTTAAACAAAATCAAACAAACAAACAAACAAAATATATTTTACAACCAATTCGTCAGCTACTGATGTATTTTTACGCTTATTTTTTGTTTGATGTATTAACTTTTGTGAATGTATATCTTTAGTGTTGTTTGGGCCTAAATGACTCAATTTGTCGATGGGCCGTAAGCAATACAAAAACAAAACAAAACCTCACAAATCTCAGTTTTGCTAAGACATTTTCTGACGTTTAAAACACTCGAAAATGAAGTGTTGTTCATTCAAGATCTCCATTTATGCAATCGGTCAACATAAAACTTTCAGAATGCGATCCATATATGCAGTTCTCGTTCGGATGAAAGCATAGATTGCACTGACTCACGAATTAATCCATAAAATTTTGTTGGGTTTTTCTTACCCATTACCTTGCAGAGTAAGTTACAGGTTTTGAAATGATATTAAACTGCCTTTTTTCTGATTTTAAACCTTCTATAACAAATTTTATTAAAACGAATTGTCAAAATAAATGGTCTGAAGAAGTCTATGAAAAGATCATTCGATACAGTTTCTGTGCAATTAATATATGACTATTTACACTCTATTGATCTTTACAATAAAATATGATATATTTATTGTGCAGACAAATTGTTCAATATTGATGTATTCTTTAAGTTTTTGTTTCATGTATTTCTTTTCTTGAGCGTCTCTGTTTACATTATTGTTGGCCCTAAATGACTCAGTGTCGATGGGCCTTATACAATACAAAAACATAAACAGAACGATTTTGAAATGACCAGCTTTTTTGTCTGTCGGGGGTATTTCTTATGTCTAGTTTTCTGACACGAGTTTCGAATAGTCCTTATGATGTATAGTGTATGTGGAATATTTGGCATTTTTTTTATTAGTTTTACTGAAAACCAATGCAGTTCAGGAAAGTAGACCTGCTGTAAAATATTTGGTTTCAAAATTATATCTCAACACACAGTATACATAACAAAATAACTTAAATGTCCATTTATATTTGTCACTGCATTTTGTGTAACTTAGAAAAAAAATGTGTTTGACCTTTTCTGAAATGAACTTTAAGGATGAAACAGATAATCTACTATTCCTTTTGGTACAAACCATCGGAAGCAATGGTGTTGGCCAGAAAAATTGTCTACACAGGCAGCTGTCTTCGTATGACCTAAGATTGTTTGAGGTGTTTAACCAAATACGTCATCCAGTAGCCCACTCTCAATGTTTTAACCTGTATACGATGACTTGGCATCCACTCAATGATATCATACGCCGACTCAATCATACGCCGACTCAATCCCAAACTAGAGTTGTATACGTTATACTGTCATTCAACCCCAACACAATATCAAATACCTTAGGTAGTGTCTGAATTCCAATTTACATGTATCAGATTACTGCGAATACATTCAATTCATTTCGATACATTTGTTACAAAACAGACCGACTGAAAGTCTTATCAAAAAAGCTGCCCTATGATTTTACTAGGAATGGGTACAGAACCATCGATTTTATCCAGTCATTATGTAAGTTTTATTCTCCTATTTGTTCAATGACATAATGACAATATTTTATTTTTATCTGCAATCATTAATCTCTATATGATCTAACCAGCCATGACCTTATACTTTATACTTTTATACTTTACTATTCCTATTCCAATTATACTCCACAAATAAGTAACTTTACCTACTTTTCTATAAATGTTATTCTTCTACGGACATAGGAGTTTTAAGTTGAGCATGTTTGTTTGTTGTTGTTTGTTGTAAGATTTGTTCAATCTGTCTTGTTTTACAGTTTCCATCTTATACATTGAATTACACATAGACTAGCTATCTATTTTCATATTAAACTACAATACCTTAACAGTTTTGGCGACTGTGACCTGTGCATATATTTGCACATGGACTTTTGGTCAATGTCTGCCAATATCTGTGTGATTTGATAGCTATATAGCTTATATACAATTGTAAAATGTTATAAAAATAAATAATACCTGTGGAAGTGTTTTGTGTGTGATGTGAGAAGTGTGAATGTATTTGTATTTCAGTTATGTTAATTAAGAAGGAGTTACATCCCTTTAATAATTTTTTTTATAATTTTCATTTCAAAATTGATGTATTAACTTAATCAAATAAAAATAATAGAATCCGTTAATTTAGCCACCGCTGGAGAGAATTTATTTAGGCTTTGCCTGTTATTCCATCCAATTGACTTGTATCATCTTTGTCAATAAAATTTGTTGAAATGAAATCATTATTGCATCTATTCATGTCCTTCGGTTTTCATTTAACTTCAAGTCTATCTTGAAATATTTCTCTATTTCCTCAAAACAAAAAGGTAAGCACGGATTTAAAGTTTTAGAATTAAAGCCTATCACAGTGTATTAGGTTTACAAGTTCTGAGTTGCTCTCCTTATTTAAACCTCTCTGATAACAGTCGGGTATATCGGATGACGCTAGGACAGGCAGGAAGTCACGTGCTGTCTACTGTTTAGTTTACATTAGTATGTATGCGTATATAAGCAAGTTGTTTGATCCACCTGATTTTTCTTCACAGGTAGCTCCCTTTACCTGGACGTTTAAAACTTGGACCATATTTCTCTTACCAGGGTAAGTAAACATTTAATTACAGTGCAATACTTCATATATTGATTATTTTGTTGTTGATTTAAAAGAACATGTGTGATAGATAAATAGATTAATAACCTATTACCCCGTTTATTACATAGTCGAATAAGGTTGACAGGAAAGAATCTGTAAACAACTTGTTTTTTAAGTAAACTAGACCAATATTCTGGTATAGCGAATTTCAAAAAGATGGAATAACTCAGATAATATATATATGTTAATGTTACTAGTCCTTAACGGCTCAGAGGATTCTGACCAAATTTGTTCTGGAGCATCATTGGCCAAATTATTTTGTATAAATTATTTTGTATAAATGAAGGGAATGGCTCCCCTGGGGATAGAGAGGCGGGGCCATATAAGGAGAAAAAAGTCTTCAAAAACCAATGGAAGGATTTTGACCATATTTGTTTCAGAGCATCTTTTGACAAAGGGGCCTCAAGTTTGTATCAAGGAGGGTGTGCCCCCTCTGGGGGGCAGAAGGGCGGAGCCCCATAGGGGAAATAGAACAAATGAATGTATTTAAATGAAATGTGGTCTAAATTATGCTTAGAGAAAAATTAATCACTTTTTTAAACTGAGGGGAAATAGAGGAAACAATTAAAAGGAGGATTTGACTTCCCCTGGGGGCAGAGGGGCAGGGCCCAATAGGGGAAACAGGCAAAAGATTCTCTTTCTGTGCAAACGAAGGGGAGGGCCCATAGGTGTATACCAATCCCTGAAGACAACCTCCCTGGGACATAACATGGAAAGTCATGTTCGTGGTGTCTTACTCATCCAAACAGGTTCCGCGTTATCACAAGGATAAATGCATCTTGCACACAGGGGAGGCCGCCTTTAAATGACCATATCTGTTGAATGTAGTTCTTCTTGCAACTTGTACTCTTTCGATAAACATGTATGGTTCTCAGCAGGTTTTTAATTGAAAATAGAATACCAGGTGAGCTATTAAGGCCCCTTGGGTATGGACATGTCCTTGCAGCATCTAAGTTTATAATACGTGTGCCGGGGAGACACCACTAAAGTGATAGGAAATGTAGAAAAAGTTTTTTTCAACATTCCATATTATTCACCTGCTACGACAATATGTAGAGGATTACAGCAGGTTTATTCTTTTCTTCGATTCTTAATTTAATCATCCTTTCTATATGAAAGTATTTGACTATCGTAACTATAGTCTTCAATATTCCGCTTCGCTTGCATTTGAAATCAGCTGTAATGGTTTAGCCGTGTTTCACTGGTTTAAACACACTTTGCTAGGCTGTATAATGTATCCTATTATCACTTTCAAGTTCTAGGTCAACATTAGCCTCCAACTATGTATATTCACGGTATTATATTCTTGTCAGCAATGTACATTAATAGTGTGGTGAACGTATTTCTGAACATGGCTGGTTACATATGTTATTGACGGCATATGTACAAAGCGTACGTATTATTACGATAACATCAACATCATATTGTATTCTTCACATATGAGTATCATAAAACATGGCTGGTTACATATGTTATTGACGGCATATGTACAAAGTGTACGTATTATTCGATAGCATCATCATTATATTTTATTCTTCAAATATGAGTATTATACAAATGTATACAAACAAAAACAGAACTATAAATAGAACATAAACAAAGCATTGCGTGTACTGATTCAAATTTTCACGCTGTAATGTAAAATTGTTTAACAAGAAACATGAAACTGAGAAATAATTAGAAAATAACCATTCAACACTCATCGAGATTTTATCGATGTCAATTCTGGTAAAATATCATGGGTCATAAGCATTTGTATGCTATCTCAAAAGTTCAAACGCAAATTATCATTGAATACCGAAACTGGTTTCCGACCGTTAAAATGTATGTTATAAGAGTTTTTGATTTCTTATCATCCAACATTGAGTTTGTCACCTTGGCCTCTATCTGGTTTTATGCTTCGTCACTGCTTATAGGTAAGAAAACAACATACCAGTACAGCGTACAGTTATATAAGTACAACATTTGTATTTTTCATACAAGTCTCAATTTAGTTTTGAGATTCCCCCCCCCCCCCCCCAACAAAAAAACACCCCAAAACACTCGTACTGCACACTATACAATGACATCACTTTTCGAAACGGGTAAATGGGTGTGTCTTTGCTGTAGCCAATCAGGTTCAAGTGATTCCAGATAAGACACACCTCACTCGGGTAAAAATAGGTACACTAACAAAATGTCAGAGGAGTTAAACACAATTCTTGCAGATCTAAGTAACGAAGCTCTTCTGGTAGTGCAGTTTAAAGTGTGGTAGTTATTCAGATCTTTGAGGAGGGTATTTTATTACCAGAATAAACTCACTGCAAATTTATTGAAACATATATACTGGTTTATGTGACGCCATAAACATTCCTGAGTTTCCGGGCTGAATCGTCGATCAAACCCATGAACCTTATCTCAGAGAAGTAAGGTCGTGACATTAAAAAGATAAATGAGTAGTATAACTTACCTGGACAGTCTGGCGAAGTGACTGAATGATATAATCTTCGAGTGGCACTTATAAATACCTTAACAACTGTTTATCATTTTCACTCCTGTGAGGAAGGCTTTGGGTTCTGTCCACTGGCCGAGACATACCAGAATCTGTAAAAATGGTAGTTTCTGCTTCTGCTTAACGCTCAGCAAATTAGGAGTGGGACGACTGGTTCGCCCGTTGTCAGTATAATGTGACCGTGTGGGGTGTCCTGCTCGGTGTCTTTGGCAATATTGTTCAGTGAGGTAGTACTATAAAGTCGGCATCAGTTCCGCGCTATCACAAAGAGACAAACACCAACATATCGCAGCTTCCCAAAACACACATGCATACATCATGCACACAGGGGAGGCCGTCCTTATATAACCAAAGTTGTTGATAGGACGTTAAACAATACTAAACTAAATCAAACCGCTTGACCAGAAAAACACTTAAATTTTACTTCGTAAGAGGAAGCAATCGGGAATTAGAAAAAAATATTTTTTCGGTCGTTTTCACAATTTCAAATCTTCAAAGATATGTCGATTGAAGCAATATACAATCATTTACACAAATTGAGTTTGGTTTGTTTTTATTTCGTTTAACGTCCTATTAACAGCTAAGACCATTTAAGGACGTGCCTCCATGTGTGTTGTGTAAGCTTGCAGGTGTGTATGTGTGCCGGAGACAGGATATGTTAGTCTTTTGCCTCCTTGTGAAAGCGCAGATCTGATGCTGACATTATAGTGCTATCTCACTGTTATGCCATCCCGGTCATATTATACTGACAACGAATGATTTACCGTGTACATTTGATTGTTACTGTCGTTCAGCACATATCAATATCATTTTTACTTTTTTTATTTACTTTATCTTTTATCATGAACACAACCCTTAAAGACAGGTCAATGCATAGCATCTTAAACCGTGAAAAGATAACAACGTATCATTGCAACAAATGTGCCATGAATTGTAATTATGCAGATATATACATTTTGCACTTTACTACATCAATGCACCAAAAACTAGCTCAGAGCTATTTGAAAAGTGTTTCATCATTTACGATCTAGATAGAAAGTAACAATAAACGTGATTATATATGAATCGTCCGCTGTGTATTAAATTTCCTTTTTTGTCGTTGTCATTGAACCACACATAACATTTTAGCATATACTTGAACGATTTAACTTACGAATATTTCAATTCATACAGTATATTCAACCACAAAGGCTATGTAACGCACACATCATTGTAAGTAATAATCAAATGAGTAAAAAAGAGGTCCAGATGGCCTGGATATTTATGCAATCATAGCAAACATTATCGTTAAACATAATTCTTTACTATATATATTTCCAAATATTGGCTCTGTCTCTCAAGGATTCTCTACATCAAATTAGATTTTGATAAAGCTACAAAATAAACATCCTCACCTATGACTTTTGGTTATTTAAAATAAACATATTACAAGATTTTATCACATTTTATCCAAGTGACCTTGAAATTGCAGTCATTCTGTTGAAAAAACTTGAAATCCTTAATCCCAAATATCATTATCCTTTGGCTCCCAGTTATTCAGAAGAGGTCATTTAAATATGTTTACACATTTGATCTCTTGAGTCCTCGAAAGTGGTTCATACCCCAGGGGCCAAGGGCCCTTTTTGAAGGAAGGTGAGCACCCCCATGCTGTCAGAGGGTGCCTCATTTTATCATGGGTATGGAACTTCTCTGGGAAATCCACTGGGGATTTTTTGGGGTCATATATAACCTTACCTTGGCAAAAAAATGTGATTTTGAATAAAGGGGGGGTAGGGATTCAGATAGTGCTATATCATTTCTCATCACCATCATATGAATTATTAGATGGTATATATAGATCATGTATGCATTACTTAAAAGTCTACAGTTTGACCTCCACTCTAAAGGTCAAATCAAGGTCAAAGGTGAAATAACACCAAAAATGAAGTATCGTTTTTTCCCCAAACCACTCTTTATTGTTTATTGCCCTTTCAACAAAAATACAGAAATTTATCAAATAACTTGTTTTATTTGTGCCATGGGTAACATATCAATATTTTGTATATCTATTTCCTTGTAATTCAGTGAGGGGGAAAAATGGTTGCCACTTTGTTATGTATATTGTTATATAGAATGGAATTATAGATTATGTGGGTAGGGGTACATAAATGGGTGTAACTTATGTTATAGTCATTCTTCCCATTAATGGATGGTAGTTGCATTGGCCATGCATTGGCCATTCTTTCTAAAGTTCTACATTTTTGTTTGACGCTACTGCCAAGGTCATATCAAGGTCAAAATTCAAGAGTCAAACATGAGAATCTATTTTGTATTTAATATTATTGACCTAAAAAGATTGTTCCTAATACAACTATTAAGCATGCTTTAGTTGATCTCCTTGAAAAAATAAGAGGCATATGAATATTAAAAAACATTTCTAGAGAGTATATAGTACTTATAACTTTTCTTCACCTGACCT